ACAAAGACTAAAAGTTGTCCCTGAAGGCAAAAATGACAACTGTAGGCATAAAACTTAGAAACAATCACATTTTAAAAGTCATTGAATTGTTAGCTCCTCTCTCACACTCTTGGTGATATCTACTAGAGAGATCAAACCTCTGCCTCTCAAACAGCACTTACTATGTGCCAGGTACTGACTATGCTAAGGTCTTTATGATCATTATTTCATTTGACCCTCACAACAACCCTGGGAGGTAAGTGCTATTATTCCCATTTTATGCATGAGGAAACTGAGGTAAACAAAGGTTAAGTGACTTGCCCAGGATCACATAGCTAGTAAATATCTGAGTCTGGATTTGAACTCAAGTCTTCCTGACTCCAAACCTGGCACTTTATGCACTGTGCTACCTAGCTGCCTTAGCACTGGTACCACCAAGATCATGTCCAGATATGCCATGACTTCCAAATGAGCACTCATCTCAGCTACCACTGAAATGGAGTCCAAAGGTCACTCCCCAAAGTCAGTTCTTGCTCTTCAGGGTAATGATGCTGGCTCTATAACCTAATCTCTAGAATGTTGGGATGTTGGAGCATTCTTCTAACCTTTCAAACTTACGAAGTTGTAGACTCAACTTCTTTCACTTAGATGAGAAAAAAAGATGAATTCAGAGGCCAAGAACTGAGGCTTATTTCATAGGGCTAGGTGGTATCAGAGGAAAGAAGATTCCTTTGACAGCATGGTTTTCTCACCCAGTGCTATTGATGGGGTTGGGATCTGGGCCCCAGAAAGGAAAAACCCTGGACTTTCCCATGTGGCCAAATCTCTAGCATTCCTGAGGTTATAATCCCATCAACTGGCCTTTCATTGTGGCTACACTCAATCCCCCTCCATTGTCTTAGCCCTATGTATGGCCCCCAGCCATTTCCCACCCTTAATCCTAGCTAGGCTCCATTCTCCCTTGGCCACGAGGTCCAGGTCCCAGGAGTTCTGTTCACCCCAGCTTACTGGCCAGTCCTAGGTCCCTCCCACAGGCTTTCTGTATATAAGGTCCATCTTGTCTCCATTAAGATGCTTAGATTCTTATAATCTAGCCACTGCTCAGATTCTCATAATCTAGCCACTGCTTACCCATGTTCAGACTCCTTAGGAGTCTGCCCAATATGACGAATGTTCTAATAAACCTTGTCTTTGGCTGAAAGAAGGCTTAGGTTGAATTCTTTCGGGCAGGACCCACATGTTACAATTTTGGGGTCCCAAAACCTCTAAACCGCATCACTATGAGTGAAGGAGTCACAACATCAGAAATAGAGCAGTTGAAAGGACTGAGACCCGAGAAAGATGGTGGACACCAGCTAGACAATCTAGAACCTCCCTCCACCTTGTGGTTAGCTGAGGGGAACATAGGTCACTCCTGTGCAGTTGAAGCACCCTCTAGTGAGCAGGAACAAAGACTGTAGCCTTTAGGAAAACCTTGCCCATGAGCACTAACTAACCTCTGATCCATGTACTAGGTGGGTGACCAAATTATATATTATATAACCACCCCTCCCCAAGCTGGTTAATTAATTATTTGATTACTAAGCCCACTACACTTTGTAGTGTGCAGACAGCAGGGGGAGAATCCAAGTACAGGTGGATATAGCTATGGTAGTGCTACCATACATACATGTCACATAGATCTCTGCCATTTTATCATCTCCTATTTTTCACCCAGCAGGTGAAAAATCTCTTGTCATGGCTTATTTGGAACTATCAAGGAACCAGGGGTACTTTCTATCAAAAAGTGAAGTGGTATGTGAATATATCCAACATGGAATTCTACTGAAGAGTGTCTTTCCTTAAAGACAGTTTGAATGAAAGGTTTGTCTATCTCTGACATGTAGTGACCTTCTCTTGGACCTCGCCACCGGAATTCTCTTATATACAACCAAGTGCTAAACCATTGAGTGACATTTGTGCAAGACCCAAATGATGATCTGGTTTCCAAACAACTCAATTTCATATAAAAATATTGCTCTAGGGGACAGGGGTTGGGGGTGGGGTGAGTAGAGTCAAGATGGCAGCAGTTTTACCATAGATCCTTCAGATCCTCCCCAACAATGACTGATAAAGAGCACCAGACATCAGAAAGCCAAGAAAAGTCTTGCTCTGAAGCCACCTCTACCCCATTCTATTGCAGAGGTGGGAGATGTACACAAGTGTTGTACATTGCACATATTTTCAGACTTCTTCCAATATATTGATCAATTATGCTAATTTTTTCCCTCTTTTTTGTCTAAAAAATACTATTTGTTATATGGGATGTTATATGGGATGATCTCTGAGGTTGGAAGAATTGGAGGAGGAACACTGGGACAAACTGTATTGATATAAAAACAAAATGCATCAATAAACACTTTTTTTTTTTTTAAAGTATTGTTCTGGCTTAGGTCAGTCAGGCTTTTATACAGATCAAACCAATGTTGCTGGGAGCTCTCCATGCAGCTGGCTCATTCTGCCCTGGTGTTATTGGGACCTTCTATTGCTTTAATAACATTCTTTTTGTTATTACTATACCAGGTTCCAAGACTGGACATTTGCGTAAGACTGTCCTCATTGGTGGAGAGAATGATTAGTCAACATTGTGAGCCTCTATGAAAAGCATAGTTAGCAAGAGATTAGGAGTAGAAAGATCCTTTTGCTTCAGAATTCTAGCTTCAAGAGAACACATACACAGTTCTAGGCTTTCCTCAAGGATAGGCCCCCTGGAGAGAGAAAAGGATTAGGGAAGAAGCTGTCATGGAGAAGAGACAATATCTTGAGCATGTCTATGATTTCTCCATCTTGCCACACTAGAGACATTAGAGAATTCCTCCTTAGATGAAATCAGGGACTGTCTTTTGGGTGAGCTAAGATTTCTCATCCACAGTGGGAGAACTTACTCAATTCGTGTTGTCTGGCATATTTTAATCTATATAATTTCTCTGATTTCCATTTACTATCAGCTTAGATAAAAGGGTTTATTTGCTATTCAATATTTGGAATGATCTTTGTGTAAATAGCATTTGATGGGGAGTCAAGTCTTCAGATACAGCTTGGGATACTCCTTTCCCATTAAGACATTGTGACCAGAAAAAAATCGCTTGAACCTAAAAATCATTTCCCCTAGACTAGGAATATTTGTTGTTGTTGTTGTTGTTTTTGTAGGGGTGGCAGCTCAATATAATTCTAGCCCAGGATCACCTCTCTGAGGAGAGCAGAATGGGCTAGGCTCAGAACCTCAATCTCCTATTCCTTTCTAGGCAAGAAACAAAATAAACATTAGAGAGAAAGCAAAATTTGAAAGCTATCCCTGTAAGCAGCATTAAGGCAAACCTATGTGAACACAGGCAAGGCAGAATCTATGCTACATTGTGGCTCTCATTGCTATGGTGTTCCTTATGATCCCGAGTTTAGCTCTCCCATGGTTTACAGTGAGGTTGAAAAAAGAGTCTTGACAGCTGCCTGAGGGGCCTGTATAGTCTAGATGTTAGGGGAGACAAGCTGTACCTATAAATACACAAATTAATAAAAGGTGGGTTGTGTTTACTCCCCCTAGCCACATGGAATGGTTCTTTGGTATGATCTAGTCACTCAGCCCTTCCATGTCAATTGACTTAATTTTCCTTCGGCCACAACCAAACTTCATAGAAAAAAGGTAATCAATCAAGGTTGGTGAGTTTTGCTGATTTGATATGGGGAGGTACACTTGTCAATGATGTATCTTACACAATCTCATAAGCTCTCCAAGGCTCATAGAAGGCATATTTCCATGTTGCTTCAAAACTGTGTTTGGATGCCCCAAGGCTTCACCAGTTTTCTGGCTTACTGAGCTCTGCTGAAGATTACTGTGCAGGGGCCATAACCACACTGAGATGAGGTGGGGCATTACTCCTATTAAGGAATGCCTGGCACCCAGTAGGAAAGTTGCCCTTATTCCCTGATCATTTACATTTTCATGTGATCCATAACTATTTCTGGTGTCAGGTACTGCCCCTTTCCTATATAGATTGAAAGGGCTGAAAAAAAGAACATTTGTGGAAGGAACACTGATAAAGACCGTTCAAGAAGAAATAATGCCTCTTAAATAAATTGTTGAGGGGAGACATAAATTGTTCTGAGAAGCTGAAAGAGAATCGACCCTCAGATAAATATACTGAAGAGATGCTGTTTGGAGGCAGAGCACTGAGAGAGGTCAAGACAGCTACTGTGTGCTATGTGGTACATCTTATTGCTTACATATAACTTGTTTCAGAGTTTTGAAGGTTATAATTGGGAAAGTATAAATAGAACAATTGTTTGGGAACCATGGGAAGATTGTATAAGGACTGGTAAGGCTATACCTAACAGAAACTGAATCTTTTGGTTTTTTTTTTTTTTAGGCAATTATTAAGTGACTTGCCCAGGGTCACACAGCTAGTAAGTGTCAAGTATTTAGTCTGAGGCCAAATTTGAACTCAGGTCCATGCTGATTTCAGGGCCGGTGCTCTATCCACTGCACCACCTAGCAGCCCCAAAATTGAATCTTTTCACTTTCATGATATGTTAGACATTTGTCCCTGCTTGCAAGGAGGCCTTGATTTGAGGCCTTAAAGGATAGGGGAAGAGTAAGAGATGACCAGATGAAGAGAAAAGCAGAAGAGGAAGCTAAGTTCAGGAAGAATTAGGGAAAGAAGGCATAAGAGGCAATAAGGGCTGCTTACTGAAAAAAGAAAAGAGTGGCTGATAGGAACTGATCAAAGTTAAGAGTCAGAATCTGCAGCTGTTATTCTGAAAATTGCACTGTTTGAAGAGCTGATTAGGAGAAGGCTACATGGCTCTAATGCTATCTACAGATTGAGAAGGAAACCCTTCTCAGAGCCTCCGAGCTTATCTGAAGAGTTTGGCAGTACTCCATATTAAGAGAATTGTTAGGGCCCAGCTCTGGACCGTGGCCTCCTGTGAGGGTAGTGAGACGCCTGGAGGTGCGAACCTGCCCCTTCCGGGGTACTGGGAACGCCTCAGTAACAGACGCTGGCTCCACCCACAGGGAGGAACATGGGAGGAGCTAGGGCGAGTATAAGAGCAGGACCCGGGGGTGTCTGAGAAGAGTTGAGTCGGAGGAGTCGGAGTTGGAGCAGGGGCCCGGACCATGGGAGGCAGGAGAGCATGTAACCAATAAATTGTGTGCAGCTGCCAGCTCGGGTGTTCTGTCTAGTCATTCCCCTCCACCCTCGGAGGGGCCGGAGACGTCCGAAGACCAGGAAGGGTAAGTATCCAAGCAATGGTCTGGGTGTAGAGACCCCGGACAGAGAATTGCTTATCATTGAAAGGGAATAAAACTTCAACACCCTGCCAACGGTAGCTGTGTGATAAGAGAGTTTGCCAATGCTTTAGTGTCCTATGAGTAACAGAGAAATGGCTTTGTCTTGTAGAAAGGGAGTAGAGTGAGAAGTGGTTTTGTCCAGCTGAGGTCAAGTGGTACAGCCTCTTCTCTATAGAGACCTAAGAAAATGAGGTAAGCTGTCCAAAATAGTGAATTACCCTGGGCACACGGGTTTTCCTACTTATGTACCTCCCAGTTAGGCTTCTTCTGTGTGTGCCCACTCTCCTTTACAGATGCTGTAGGCATTGGTGGGAGAATGTGACCCAGGATTATGCATGGACTATTATATTTTGATTGTTGCTGATCTTTTCTATTGAACAACTGTTATAATTATTCTTTCTCTTGCTTTATCATTTAGCAAATGTTTTATGTTTAAGAGTCAACAGTGTCAGGGTAGCTGTGTATAAATAGGAAACATGTTATTGGGGGCTACAGAGGTACAGTGATAGGGTGTAGGCCTGTGTCCTCACTATACAGGGTTATGCCGTGGACCCTAAGAGTTTAGTAGTAACCAAGTGGCCATGACTGCCGTCTCTCCCCCCCCATCCCCGAAAAACCTTTTGACCTGCCAGCATGAGGGCAGGTGAAGGTGAGTGAACCAAACTCTAAAGAGGACAAAAAGGAGATATAGGCACTATGATAGACTACACTAATTTCATGAGTTGCCCAGTGCCATGCCTAGGCTACCCTGTAGGGGCTGGGGCAGTTATGAGGAGTTTGTTAGTACTCTGGCTTCAGGGAAGTGCTTATCACTGAGAGAACATAAAATTTTTTCAGTACTCTAAGGGTGACTGTATGATAAAGCCTCTCTGCTTTGATGGCCCTAGGGGAATAGAGAAAAGAATTTGCCCAGCAGGAGAACTGTAAGGATCAGATGAGGAGCAGATAAAGAAGCAGTTTGACCCAGCAGTGGACAGGTAGTGCAAATTGTTCTGTAAGGAGATCCAGGATATCAAGGCCTGATGTCCAGGGTTGTAAGTTGCCCTAAGCACATGAGTTTCCTTACTTATGTTCCTCACTGCTAGATTTCTTTAAGTATGCCTGCTTTCCCCTATGGACACTGAACATGGGTGGGAGAGTGTGATACAGTTTTATGGGTGGACTGTTATTTCTGCTCTTTTTATTGAGTAAATGTTTTAACTATTTTTGCTGTTACCTTATATTGTATAACTTGGATGATTATATTTGTTTTGCTTTCTATTGAGTATATGTTATGATTATTCTTGCTTTTAAGCCTGATCATTTAATAAAATTTCCATGTTTTGAGTTGATGGTGTCATGACTGGTTTTGTATAAATGGGAAGCATGCTCCTGAGGTCTCAGAAGCTCCATTGATGAATAGTGAAGTAGATTGCTGCTTCTGCCCCCAACACACACACACACACACACACACACACACACCAGGGTTATCACTAAGACTCTAAGAGAATACTTGAGTAGTAGCCACGCGGTTGGGGCCATAACCGGCCCCGCAATCTTGGAAAATCCTCTAGGGTACAGTGTGAAGGCAGGTTGGGGTGAATGAATCAGTTCAGAGAGAAAGAAGTATGCATGTATTGGTGGGAAGGGGGGACATGCTACGTTGGATATCATGCATAGGTTACACTGGGATCTCATTCTCAGAACTGTGCCAAGGTATTTGTATACCATAGACAAACTTCCTCACGTCCCCTGCCCCCACTCCATAACAGTAAAAACATAAATTTATCACTTAGAAGAATAATTAATTTCATTTTACAGGTCTGGCAGTGGCAGTGGCAGCAAACACAAAGAAACAAACATTATAGTTATGGATCCCTATGAGTACAATTGTAGATTTAAGAATGATGGCCATACAGCCCTTCTGTCTTTAGGGGTTGATTACATCATCAAAATTAAGGTGTTTTGCGGCCTCACAGCCAATGGATACATGGCCAGCACTCCTTTTACTTTGCTAAATGGACAATGAAATTTTACTACCTTTAGTACCTTGTATTCACTATATATACTTTAAATAACTATGGTTTGTTTTCCTTTTTTTTTTTAAGCAAACCTGTTGCTAGCTCTTCACTGCCTCTAAATTAAAAAAAAAGGAATTAAAAAAAAAGAAAAATAAAACCCTTGTAACAAATATGCATGGTTGAGCATAACATTTCTACATTGGCCATGTCTGAAAATATTTATCTCATTATGCACCTTGATTCCATCCTCTCTCTTTCAGGATATACGTGGAATGCTTCATCAATGGTCTTTTGGAATCATGGTTAATCATTGCATTGAACAGTTCTTAAGTCTTTCAAAGTTTTCTTTGTTGTTATTGTCTAATGGGGGTGGGAGTGGTTCTTAACCTGGGAACAAGAATTTTAAAAAATATTCTGATAATTACCTCAATATAATTGGTTTCATTCATAATCCTTGTGTTTTATTTTATGCATTTAAAAACATTATTCTGAGAAAGAGTCCATAGGCATCATCAGACTGCCAAAGGGGATCCACGACACAAAAAAGTTTAAGAACCCCTGGTCTAAACCTAATTTCTGCTTTCCAATTTTCTCAGCAATATTTATTGAATACTGAGTCCTTACCTCAGTAGTTGGGTTCTGCAGGTTTATTAAGCAATATGCTGCTATGTTCATAAGCTTGTACATAGTAGATATGAATTGACTTTTCTGCTTTTTAACTAGTACCAAATAGTTTCTGATGATTTCTGCTTTGTAATATTGTTTGAAATCTGCTATTGCCAATCTTTTTTCATTTTTCCTTTAAGATTTGTAAATATTTTTGTTCTTCCAGATGGATTTTTAAAAAATTATAGTTTCTGTGTCTTGGTAGGTAGATCCCCAAATATTTTATGCATTTTGTAGTTATTTTGAATTGAATGTCTCCATTTTTTCCTGGTGGGTATTGTTAATAATATATAGTTAGAGTATGTTTTGGGTATATATACATATATTTTATATTCTGTTGATTTGCTGATACTTTTTTGCTGTGTTTTTAAAATTTATTTTTAAATAAATTTTTTATTGTTTTCTGTTTTTTACATCATCATAGTTATCCCAAACATCTCCCCTTCTCCCCTTCCCAAAGAGTCATCTTTTATAAAAGTATTTTTTAGAAAGAAAAAAAATTAGCACAACTGATGAATACACAAAAAAGTTCAAAAACATGTGCAAAACACTATATAACCTATGGGCTCTCCTACCTCCATGAGGGGATGGGTTGGGGAATGTCTTCTTATATGTCTTCATTTGATTCTTGCTTGATCTTTAATTACTTTATTACCTTCACTTTTGATTTTTTGGCATAGTTTTTCTTCCTATTTACTTTGTTACAATTATCATGTATATTGTTTTCCTGACTTCAGGTGTCTGCCTGTGGGCTCTAGATTTCACTAGACTGCCCCGGTCTATATGCTGGAAGTCTTCCATGTGCTGGACTTGTGGGCCAAGCTTCTCTGATCAGATGCTTGATACAATCACATCTGCCATTCTGTGACAACCCTCCCTCACTTCACTTCTCCCTGCACTCCAAGATCTCAACCTTTCCCCCCTTTCTGAACTAGGCATCAGTTCTTTAGGATAGTTATAGCCCAACCACTAGTTGGGCTCCATATTGACTCAAATTTATAAGAATAAGAACCCTCCCCAATTGATAAATGGTCAAAGCTATCAATAGTCATATGAAAAAATGCCTCAAATCACTAATAGAGAAATGCAAATTAAAGCAACCCTGAGGTTTCACATTACACTCATCAGACTAGCAAAACTGACCAAAAAAAAGATGATAAATGTTGAATGGGCTTCTGGAAAACCAGCACGTTGTTCTATCGGTGGGGACCTGGAGACAAGAAGACCCAAGCTCAAATCTGGTCTTTGACACTGTCTCAGTGACTCTGGGCAAACTTAACTTCTGTTCTCTTGTTTCCTCAACTATAAAATGTAAATAATAATGGTACCCAACTTTCAATGTTGTGGGATCAAATGAAATATTTGTAAAGCTCTTAGCATAGTGCTTGGCACAGAGTGGGAATTTAATAAATCCTTCCTTCCTTCCCTTTTTTCCTTCTGCCATACTGGCATACTTGCTGCTTCTCACATATGATGCTTCATCTCTCATCTTTGTGTCTTTGTACTAGATAATTCCAAAACTGGGAATTCTTCCTCTTTTCACCTCTCCTTTTCAGAATTCCTGGCACCCTTCAAGTCTCATCTCAAATCCCACCTTCTTCTGATCTTTCACAGTCTTTGAAAGAGCTAGTGGCTTTCATTCTAATGTTCCCTTCCATATATTCTATACCTTGTACCTATTTATATACACAGACTCTCTCTCCATTAGAATGTCAACTCCTTGAGTTCAGTTGCTTTTTCTTTGCATTTCTCAGCACTTAGCACAGTACACAGTCAGTACTTAATATAATACTTGATTAAATAAGGTTATAGTACCTGTGTACTCTGTCTCCATCAGATCACATTTGTAATACTGTGTTCAGTTCTGGCCACCACAGTTTAAGAACTTTTATATGGATGGAGATCATTCAAAGGATAGCAACCAGGTTGGTGAAGAGCCTTGAGCTCATGTCATGTGGGGACTCACTAAAGGACAGTTAGCCTGGAGAAGACTCAGAGTGGACAGGGTAACTATTTTCTTTCTTTTTTTTTTTTTTGGCTAGGCGATGGGGTTAAGTGACTTGCTCAGGGTCACACAGCTAGTAAGTGTTATGTGTCTGAGGCCACATTT